TGACTCAGTACTACCAGTGTTGGGAGGTTGTACATTCATATTTGTTCCGCTGTTAGTTTTGGTTACTTATTTAATTTAAAAAAATGGCCCCAAAAATATAATTGAAATCGGCTTACCTAGTCTTAGAAACTAGGTGCCATCACGACGCCCGTGGTGAGATTTTTGGGTCGTGACATTTTCCTATTTTTCTTTTCTATTGGTTTTCTTTCTCTTTTCCTTTTCTTTCCTCCAGTTTTTTAACTTATAGACTTGGCTAGAAATTAGCTCTGGCATTCTCCATATTCTGCGGCGAGATTGAGTGCAGATTTATTCTTTAAGTTTTATTTGTTAAACCAAAATTTTGAAGAGAACGAGGAAGAAGAACTTGGTTGTTGATTGATGATTGCCAAAAAGTTTTCGAGGAGCTCATGTTTTTTGATCTGTCACCGGAAAAAAAAATTGTACCGAAAAAAATGGAGTCTTTGAAATTCCGACCACCATTTTCAGTTTATATTCGTTTTTCTTTCTTTTTCTCTTCCTCCCACACATAAATTACACTTTCAAGATTTTTTTTATATATATATATAAAGCAAAACACACTTAGATCGGGACAAAAATCTGTCGTCGAAAATTATTTTTTCGCCGGAATAAATGGAGTTCTTGAAATTCTGACAACCACCATTGTATGCCATGGTGACCAAAACAAAAGGAAAGAGAATAAAATAACAAAAAAATGAGAATAATAAGAAATAAGAAAAGAGGATAAGAAAAAGAAGAAAGAATAAAAAAAGTACTAAATATACATGTGGCAACGCGTGTAGTTCCCTACTTGCCAAGAGTTTGATTGTCTAGTTTTAGGGTGGTATTTATTCCATTTAAAAAAAGTTTAGGGGGTAATAGGATTCTCGCAAAGATAAAGTGTGCAGCTGGAAATCCGGGTATAGGTTAGGGGGTACTTATGCATTTTTCCAAATAAAAACCTACCCTAATTAACGGTACAATTATAAATTTATATAAAAATATATAATTTTATTTAAAAAAACCTAAAAATTGATTCAATAGGGTACGATTTAGTTGATTTTTAAATATCTATTGACACTCTCTTTAACACCAAAATTGTTACTCTATATTTTGAAAGGAAAATATATAGTCTTTTCTTTTCTTTCCTACAACCTCAAAGGGCAAAATTAAAAGTAAATAGGGCAACTTCTAGTTGGAGTACACAAACTGAAGAACACCACTACCGCCTCCATTCTGTATTCAGACGTCATTCAAGGTATCTTCTTCTCCTTTTCTGTTTGTGTGAGTCTTGTCTGTATGTTTTGTTGCTATTTTCATTAGCCGAGTTATTTTAGGGTTGTAACTCGGATTTTAGGTTATTTGTCTTGTCGTTTACTCAATGAAATACAGTTTTTCCTTTTGTGTCATTCCATGCTTAGTTCTTTTCCCGCTAGTTTTAGTGATATGACATACATGCAGAATTTTTGGCCAGTCTTAGAAAACCGATTTAAGCTTGAATTGGATAAATGATAAAAAGAAACTTTTGAGGATGAATAAAGAGTTGAAACACTTTGGAATAAATCTCGAATAAAATTACCCGTGGAGGTTAATGATCTTTACCTTCAAATCATTGTGAAGGTCGGGTTTGAGGAAGAATCAATTGAAGTTTATTAGAAAGTTTGACATTAATGGGTGAAAAGTGTCTTTCGACCACGACACACCAAGAAGACAAATATGTTTATCAATGTTGTGTCATGAAAGGAAACCATGATTGGCATTCTCGAGGCTAGGAGGCCCTTTTTTCTACTACTCAAACACTTTATACCATTTGTTATACCTTTTGAGCATGTGTTATTTTCTTTGATCACCCTCTTTTGGAATCAAGTTTAGAGTCAAAAGTTTTTTAAAAAAATAAAAAATAAATAAAAAGAAAAGTCCAAGCTCCCAAAGTACAAACTGAGGCAACTCTTACAAAAGTCCAAGTGAAAAAGAAAAAGAAAAAAGAACAGTCAAAGTTCCATGCCCCTAGAAAATAGAAGCACGGGCAGTTTGTTTTGAAAAAAAAGACAAAGAAAGAAAGATGAAAAAATTAGTTAGGTCAGATATTTGAACTATGTTTGACCTGATTTCTTTTAAAAAAAAAAGATACGTAGGTAAGAATTCAGACAAAAGAAAAAGAAAAAAAAATCCAAAAATCCCCAGTATATGAAATTGGGGCAAATATTTTATTTCACTTTTAAAAGAGTCGATTCCAAGAGTTATAAGTATATAATCATATCAAATGAGTTTATTTTGAGATTTCATGTTGCCCTTTCTTTCTAACCATATCCAAAAGCCTTTCAAACAAGACCTCTTGAAATGTTTTGAGAATGCCAAGAAAAATCCGCAATGAGCAATGGTTGTCATATGAGAGACATGGTCACAGTTCTCACTCAATGAATCAAGAAAAGGAAAAAAAAAAAAGAAATATAGAAAAAAAAAATGAGAGAGTCTTATTGGTGAAAACATTCGCAGGCACTTTAAGCCGACGGTAAGTAGAGATAAATAATTGAGAGAGACTTGTTGGTAAAAACTCCTCGGGGCATCACTAGTCGAAAGTGAGTCGTGAGTCTGATGCAAATAATCGGCACAAAGAAGCTTGATTTCAAACCCCAAGGAATGATAAAAGGGAAGATTCGATCAGTTTGATATATCGGGCCTCTAAGTCCAAAGTGCATGTCATGTTCATTAAGGCTAGTTACCGCAAAATAAAAAAAAATAAAAGAAAAAAAAGCAAAAAAAAAAGAAAAAAAAAGAAAAAAAATATCTCTTCCTTATGTCCTTCCGACAGGTGCATTTCTTGTTAATACTTGTTTCTTTGCATCATTGTGTCCTTTACTCTAAGCTAGTCCTTGTCAAAACAAGCAAGAAAAGATTTCAAAATTTGCTACCAGCTTTTCAGTTGCACAAAGTAAATTTGGCCAGCACACTCAGTTTTTTACAGTCAACATGCATTAAGGATTCATGCAAAGGCTTCTCCCCCCCCCCCCAAA